AGTGTAATAGTAGGGACAGAGGGAGCTTAGCAGTCAGTGTAATAGTAGGGACAGAGGGAGCTTAGCAGTCAGTGTAATAGTAGGGACAGAGGGAGCTTAGCAGTCAGTGTAATAGTAGAGACAGAGGGAGCTTAGCAGTCAGTGTAATAGTAGGGACAGAGGGAGCTTAGCAGTCAGTGTAATAGTAGGGACAGAGGGAGCTTAGCAGTCAGTGTAATAGTAGGGACAGAGGGAGCTTAGCAGTCAGTGTAATAGTAGGGACAGAGGGAGCTTAGCAGTCAGTGTAATAGTAGGGACAGAGGGAGCTTAGCAGTCAGTGTAATAGTAGGGACAGAGGGAGCTTAGCAGTCAGTGTAATAGTAGGGACAGAGGGAGCTTAGCAGTCAGTGTAATAGTAGGGACAGAGGGAGCTTAGCAGTCAGTATAATAGTAGAGTCAGAGGGAGGTTAACAATCAGTGTAATTAAGTAGGGACAGAGGGAGCTTAGCAGTCAGTATAATAGTAGTGATAGAGGGAGCTTAACAGTCAGTGTAATAGCAGGGACAGAGGGAGCTTAGCAGTCAGTGTAATAGTAGAGACAGAGGGATCTTAACAGTCAGTGTAATAGTAGTGACAGAGGGAGCTTAGCAGTCAGTGTAATAATAGGGACAGAGGTAGCATAGCAGTCAGTGTAATAGTAGGGACAAAGGGGACTTAGCAGTCAGTGTAATAGTAGGGACAGAGGGGACTTAGCAGTCAGTGTAATAGTAGGGACAGAGGGAGCTTAGCAGTCAGTGTAATAGTAGAGACAGAGGGATCTTAACAGTCAGTGTAATAGTAGTGACAGAGGGAGCTTAGCAGTCAGTGTAATAGTAGTGACAGAGGGAGCTTAGCAGTCAGTGTAATAATAGGGACAGAGGGAGCTTAGCAGTCAGTGTAATAGTAGAGACAGAGGGATCTTAACAGTCAGTGTAATAGTAGTGACAGAGGGAGCTTAACAGTCAGTGTAATAGTAGGTTCAGAGGTTGCATAGCAGTCAGTGTAATAGTAGGGACAGAGGGAACTTAGCAGTCAGTGTAATAGTAGAGTCAGAGAGAGGTTAACAGTCAGTGTAATAGTAGAGTCAGAGAGAGGTTAACAATCAGTGTAATAGTAGGGACAGAGGGAGCTTAGCAGTCAGTGTAATAGTAGGGACAGAGGTAGCATAGCAGTCAGTGTAATAATAGGGACAGAGGGAACTTAGCAGTCAGTGTAATAGTAGAGTCAGAGAGAGGTTAACAATCAGTGTAATAGTCGGGACAGAGGGGACTTAGCAGTCAGTGTAATAGTAGGGACAGAGGGGACTTAGCAGTCAGTGTAATAGTAGGGACAGAGGGAGCTTAGCAGTCAGTGTAATAGTAGGGACAGAGGTAGCTTAGCAGTCAGTGTAATAGTAGGGACAGAGGGAGCTTAGCAGTCAGTGTAATAATAGGGAAAGAGGGAACTTAGCAGTCAGTGTAATAGTAGAGACAAAAGGGGCTTAGCAGTCAGTGTAATAGTAGAGTCAGAGAGAGGTTAACAGTCAGTGTAATAGTAGGGACAGAGGGAACTTAGCAGTCAGTGTAATAGTAGGGACAGAGGGAGCTTAGCAGTCAGTGTAATAGTAGGGACAGAGGGAGCTTAGCAGTCAGTGTAATAGTAGGGACAGAGGGAGCTTAGCAGTCAGTGTAATAGTAGGGACAGAGGGAGCTTAGCAGTCAGTGTAATAGTAGGGACAGAGGGAGCTTAGCAGTCAGTGTAATAGTAGGGACAGAGGGAGCTTAGCAGTCAGTGTAATAGTAGGGACAGAGGGAGCTTAGCAGTCAGTGTAATAGTAGGGACAGAGGGAGCTTAGCAGTCAGTGTAATAGTAGGGACAGAGGGAGCTTAGCAGTCAGTGTAATAGTAGTGACAGAGGGAGCTTAGCAGTCAGTGTAATAATAGGGACAGAGGGAGCTTAGCAGTCAGTGTAATAGTAGTGATAGAGGGAGCTTAGCAGTCAGTGTAATAGTAGTGACAGAAGGAGCTTAGCAGTCAGTGTAATAGTAGGGACAGAGGTTGCTTTTTGCAAATCTACTAATATTTGATTTAGTTGACATTGTATAGAAAATTGTGTGCAGTTCGCTTGCTACATAATGTACTTTTTATTAATTTCTATTTACACTGAATTCATCGTTACTTTCAACCGATGGTACCAGGAACTTCCCATTTCGCTACTGGAACATCAATATTTATACCACATTAATACATCAATATTTATACCACATTAATACATCAATATTTATACCTCATTAATACATCAATATTTATACCACATTAATGCATCAATATTTATACCCCATTAATGCATCAATATTTATACCACATTAATATTTATACCACATTAATACATCAATATTTATATCACATTAATACATCAATATTTATACCACATTAATAAATCAATATTTATACCACATTAATACATCAATATTTTTACCACATTAAAACATCAATATTTATACCACATTAAAACATTAATAATTATACCACATTAATGCATCAATATTTATACCACATTAATGCATCAATATTTATACCCCATTAATGCATCAATATTTATACCACATTAATATTTATACCACATTAATACATCAATATTTACACCACATTAATACATCAATATTTATACCACATTAAAACATTAATAATTATACCACATTAATGCATCAATATTTATACCACATTAATGCATCAATATTTATACCCCATTAATGCATCAATATTTATACCACATTAATATTTATACCACATTAATACATCAATATTTATACCCCATTAATGCAACAATATTTATACAACATTAATACATCAATATTTATACCACATTAATGCAACAATATTTATACCACATTAATACATCAATATTTATACCTCATTAATACATCAATATTTATACCACATTAATGCATCAATATTTTTACCACATTAAAACATCAATATTTATACCACATTAAAACATTAATAATTATACCACATTAATGCATCAATATTTATACCACATTAATGCATCAATATTTATACCCCATTAATGCATCAATATTTATACCACATTAATATTTATACCACATTAATACATCAATATTTATACCACATTAACATCAATATTTATACCACATTAATACATCAATAATTATACCACATTAATGCATCAATAGTTATACCACATTAAAACATCAATATTTATACCACATTAAAACATCAATAATTATACCACATTAATGCATCAATATTTATACCACATTAATGCATCAATATTTATACCACATTAATGCAACAATATTTATACCACATTAATACATCAATATTTTTACCACATTAAAACATCAATATTTATACCACATTAATGCATCAATATTTATACCACATTAATGCAACAATATTTATACCACATTAATACATCAATATTTATACCTCATTAATACATCAATATTTATACCACATTAATGCATCAATATTTATACCACATTAATATTTATACCACATTAATACATCAATATTTATACCCCATTAATGCAACAATATTTATACAACATTAATATATCAATATTTATACCACATTAATACATCAATAATTATACCACATTAATGCATCAATATTGATACCACATTAAAACATCAATATTTATACCACATTGAAAAATCAATATTTATACCACATTAATACATCAATATTTTTACCACATTAAAACATCAATATATATATCACATTAAAACATCAATAATTATACCACATTAATGCATCAATAGTTATACCACATTAAAACATCAATATTTATACCACATTAAAACATTAATAATTAGACCACATTAATACATCAATATTTATACCACATTAATGCAACAATATTTATACAACATTAATATATCAATATTTATACCACATTAATACATCAATAATTATACCACATTAATGCATCAATAATTATACCACATTAAAACAATGTTTGCTTTTACTTTTTATTTTGTTTCTTTTTAGAAAAAAGCAGTATGTACTGCATCTATTAATAGAACCCAATTAGTTGAGTCCGGTTCACTTGGATGTTTTATCAGGCATTGTATCCAAATGTATTGTTTACTTATAAAAGTTAGACTCCTGGGTTTGAAAAAAATGATTTCTGAAATAACAAAATGCCAAATACTGTAAATTTACTTATTTTAATGCACTTAAATTTTAGCGTGTTATCAAAATTTAAGGGATAAGCACATTGATGAATTGATGAGTTCTAAAAATATGCAATAGAGAATGACATACAAGAACATCAATTGGCGAATTCATATTTTAGCACAATAATTTAAGTGTTATAGTTAAGACTACCACTAAATACAGTAAAATGGGACTACTGCTAAAATATGCATGGTTACAGTATAAGCCCTTGTTTACGAAAGTAACTGACAGCAGTTAAATACTTTTTCGTTTGAAACTTATAAAATATACTGAAGTCATGTGTTTGTTACAATAATAAAAATGCATTGTTTCCGTGTTTAGAAATACTGTAGGATATTCATATTGTTGCAAATTAATTTCATTCCATTGTTTAGTTTTAAATGGGTTTAAAGGCGATAAAAACCCATATATTTCATTTTCACAATTTTAACATTTTTCGGGGACATTATTTATTAAATATTCTTTGTGCAATTTTTTTTAAAAAAAAATTGAAAACACGAAAGTTGCAAAAAATCGACAAATTTTGTAACTGGTAGCAAAATAAAATAGAAGGCAGATAAATATGGCTTCAATCACTTAAAACAATGCTGATTTAATTTAAAAGACATACCTAGATATTCATACGTTTGAAAATTTCCACCTTGGGTAGCCTCACTTGGGTAGCCTCACCTTGGGTAGCCTCACATTGGATTGAACTAAGCTTCACAAGACTGATGGTTACTTAAAAGTGATATATTTATTAAACAGTTTTGATTGGTCCATATATTCATTGAATAATTTTGATTGGTCCAATCCAGATACCGTATCATTACTGGAGGGACAAGAAACCATCGATTACATTGCAGAATACGTCTCGGTCAAGTTTAAAGTTCTCAAGAACAATCCACGTGATTCTATCCAGGCTATTTACCTCACAAATACCGGGATCGCCGTGCTCAGGGGAGGTAACTGGCAAATCTATTTCAACCACCTCTACAAGATGATGCATGAAAAAGGAGGTGTGGCAGCTACAGGTCATGTGATCCATGGTTCTGGGTTCAGATTATTCCATGTCAAAGGGAGCCTATACAGGTAGGTACGATGTGTAAACAAGTCAGAAACACAGTCCGTAAGATTGCTGTGAATATTTTTTTCGCAAGATATTTTTTTTCTCATTAATTTGTGACAAGTGATGATTGCAATTTCAAGAATCATATGAATATTTATTCACACTTAGGTACTAAATCAAGGATTGTTTCACACTTAGGTAATAAATCAAGGATTGTTTCACACTTAGGTATTAAATCAAGGATTGTTTCACACTTGGGTATTAAAGCAAGGATTGTTTTTTGGTCCCAAATGTGGTCTTTTGCAAATTCAAATTCAAGAATAATCTAAAAAATAACACAAATATTGAGTTATTTCCTGTAATATCATAAGTATTTTGAACAGATGAATTTGGTATGATATTGCAGTGTTACACTGAATCTAAGTTAATTTGAACTCTGCTTCGCTGTAATGGGTAAAATAGATCCAATTTCCAATGGAGGCATGGTAGTCTAGTGGTAGGACGCCGGGCTCGTGACAGAAGGGTTGCGGGTTCGAGTCATGCCACGGCACTGTTTTGGTTTTTTTGAGCAAGATACTTTACTCCGCTTGTTCCAGTATATATACTCAGCTGTAAATGAGTATGTGGTTGGGCAGTACTGGAATTGTTGAATACTAGCTGTGAGTGCCGATGGCAGCTCTGGCTATATGTTCCCCAGGGAGTTGAGAAAGATATTGGTTGGTTGCAAAGGCCCTATAACCTCGGATAATAATTTGTGAACTGCTTTGAGACAACCTATGAACTAGGTTTCGATAAAGCGGTACATAAGAACATTGAGTTATTATAATTATTGTTTGGTTGAAACACCATTCCCTGTAGTAGTAAGCCTTGACGTCTGCTACCATTACAGATTACAGCCAGAGCCGGAGGTGTTTCGCCCGCTCTACCCGTCCGAGACCCGTACCCTTATTCTGACCGGTAACTATCAACAGGTTGCTAAGACCGACTCCTTTCCCAACTGGTATGTCACCTCTCCAGGATCTACACCCCGGGTACTACAGAGCACGGTGGGCGAGAGTCTCGACTATGTGGATAATTACAACCAGTCGTCATGGCAATGGCGTCGTGACCCACAGGAACAGAATGACCCCTACACAGCCAGAGTGAGGTTCTATATGTATGCTAATATATCTCACGACCTTGGGCGTGTGGGGAGTCTGGTGCTACCTACCCCTGAGGAAGCCGACATTGATGTGAAGACCTTACTAAGTATAACTCCTAAAGACTGGGTTATCATCAGTAATGCAGAATTTACATCCGAGGCCAAATATCTAGCAGGTATGATGTTTATAAGTGATCATTCAAATATATCGCAGGTAAGTCATTTAAATCAGCATTGAAATAAAGAGCTAGTCAACTTTTTAGCCCACCATCATCGGATTGTAACTCTTCAAATGGCCATGGTCTATAAGTCTGTTCTTCCTTCATCGTACATTGTCTATCATCCGTTGTCCGTACTTCTTGTTTATGATCCCAATTACTCAGAAAGGAAGGATTTTTCTAAAATGTCATATGTAAGTTCTCCATGGCCAACAGGCGGCTGGTTTTGATTTTGACCGTGAATGTTTGTTATCACTTTTTCTCAAGAAGTGCTGGAGGGATCTTTCTCAAATTTGATATGTAGGTTCCCCTTGGTCTGTAGTTGTGCATGTTAACCTTTGGGACTGATCGGATAAACAAAAATGCTGGCAGGAAGTGCTTAGAAGATATTTCTCATATTGCAATGATTGGTTCTATTTCTTTCACATTAAGTATTGTACTAGTAAAAAAGTTAAACAACAAACTCACTTTGAAGGTCGTCTTTTTTACACAGCAGTACTAAGTTCAGATAAAAAAAATAGCGCAAGGTATTACTACTGTTTACATGACTCGATCAAACAGATTAGAAGAAATATCAAACTGACTAAGAACTAATGAAGATGGTACAATGGTGGGCGCCAAGATTCCTCTGGGATCTCTTGTTTTTAAACAACTTCTTTTCAAGAACAAGAAGACCTAGAGTCATGAAGTTTTGCTGAAGTAGCTTGCTAGAATGAGGGACTGTCTTTTTTTTCAAATGATTCACTTTCAAGGCCACAGGCTTCAGACGTTTTAATCATGTTTGAATAATTTCTTCATAGTAACAGTGAAGCCAAGGATGATGATGGTTGGTCTGTATGATGCTGTAGTAAAGAGATGTTAAATTGTTTAAATGAATCATCTGAAATCCCTTTCATTGTAATCTTGGTCAAATGGCTTCTAAAGATCCATAGTGTCGACAGTACTACACGTGATATTTTTTGCTTCTAACTGGCTAGTATAACATGCTATACAGTTTTATTTATTAACTTGACCAAAGATTGATAGGGTGTAATGTTATGGTATTTTGCCTTTAGTGTTGATTGCTGTTTAGTTTGTTAAACAATACAGATTACATATCCTTGTAATTATCTGTTTGGTCACCGGGATCAATGTGTAACCTCTCTCTGGTTGTCGATTCTTATAAAACTCTATATTTCGTATAGAACAAATGTCACTCTGAGTCCCAATATTTCGGCCTCCTGGCCTTCTTCGAGGGCGAAAGTCAACAATTATTTCGAGTAATGTCCATCTTGCTTCTCATGAGGTACAAAATGAAGTACAGATTATTTCCTCTATCTCCGAATAAGCAAGATGGTCGTTACTTGAAACAACCGTTAACTTTCGGCCTTGAATGAAGGCCAGGAGGCCAGGACTTAACGAGACATTTGTTCTATATTTTTAGCTCACCTGGCACATTATTTTACTTTAAACGACTTCTTCTTAATAACCGAAAGGCCTAGGGTGATGATATTTAGCCAACAGCATGCTGAGATTAAGAGCTTCAAAGATTGTTCAAATGAATGGCCTTCACCATTATTCAAGGTCACAGGGGTCTATTGTTTAAAAAAAACACGCATGCTTCGGTGAAGGGCTACCAAGTTTGTTTAAATGTATAGTCCCAATATTTCGGCCTCCTGGCCTTCTTCGAGGGCGAAATTCAACAATTATTTCGAGTAATGTCCATCTTGCTTCTCATGAGGTACAAAATGAAGTACAGATTATTTCCTCTATCTCCGAATAAGCAAGATGGTCGTTACTTGAAACAACCGTTACCTTTCGGCCTTGAATGAAGGCCAAGAGGCCAGGACTTAACGCGACATTTGTTCTATATTTTTAGATCACCTGGCACATTATTTTACTTTAAACGACTTCTTCTTAATAACCGAAAGGCCTAGGGTGATGATATTTGGCCACTAGCATGCTGGGGTAAAGGGCTATCAAGTTTGTTTAAATGAATGACCTTCACCTGTATTCAAGGTCACAGGGGTAAAATATGCTAAAAACTTTAAACATCTTCTTCTCCATACCCAAACAGCTCAGGGAGATTATATTTGGCCAGTAGCATGCTAGAATGAAGGGCTACAAAAATTGTTCAAATGAATGACCTTCACCTATATTCAAGGTCATAGGGGTCAAATATGTTAAAAACTTTAAACATCTTCTTCTCCATACCCAAACAGCTCAGGGAGATTATATTTGGCCAGTAGCATGCTGGGGTAAAAGGCTATCAAGTTTGTTTAAATGAATGACCTTCACCTATATTCAAGGTCATAGGGGTCAAATATGTTAAAAACATTAAACAACTTCTTCTGAATAGCCAAAATGTACAGGGTGATGATATTTAGCCATCAGCATGCTAAGATTAAGAGCTTCAAAGTTTGTCCAAATGAATGGCCTTCACCATTATTCAAGGTCACAGGGGCCAAATATGTTAACCACTTTAAACAATTTCTTCTGAATAACCAAAATGCCCAGGGTGATGATATTTAGCCAACAGCATGCTAAGATTAAGAGCTTCAAAGTTTGTTCAAATGAATGGCCTTCACCAATATTCAAGGTCACAGGGGCCAAATATGTTAAAAACTTTAAACAACTTCTTCTGAATAACCAAAATGCCCAGGGTGATGATATTTGGCCAGTAGCATGCTGGCGTAAAGGGTCATCAAGTTTGTTCAAATGAATGACCTTCACCTATATTCAAGGTCATAGGGGTCAAATATGTTAAAAACATTAAACAACTTCTTCTGAATAGCCAAAATGTACAGGGTGATGATATTTGGCCAGTAGCATGATGAGATGAAGGGTTACCAAGTTTGTTCAAATGAATGACCTTCACCCATATTCAAGGTCACAGGGATCAAGTATATTAAAAACTTTAAACAATTTCTTCTCAATAACCAAATGCCCAGGGTGATGCTATTCAGTCAGTAGCATACTAGGATCAAGGGCTACCAAGTTTGTTTAAATGTATGACCTTGAATCATATTCAAGGTCACAAGGAGCAAATATGTTCAAAATATTTAAACAACTTGTTCTGAATAACCAAAATGCTCAGGATGTTGATATTTAGTCAATAGCATGCTCGGATCAAGGACTTCTATGTTTGTTAAAGTGAATGACTCTGATTTATATTCAAGGTCATAGGGGCCAAATTTGTTTAAAATCTTTAAACAACCTCTTCTGAATAACCATGGGTCCCAGGATGTTGATACTTTGCAAGTTGCATCCTGAGATGAAAGGTAAAAACAAATGGTTCAACATAATGACTTTGTTCGACTTTCAATCCCAGTGGTGAAATGTTTAAAAAAGAAATAACAGGTTCTTTTGAATAAATTTTAATCATAGATACTGATATTTTGCCTGTAGCTTTATTGTAGATCACTTTTAATGTTACAAGTGGGAGATTTATACCAGGTGAGCGATGCAGGCCCATTGGGCCTCGTGTTCTACTTTTTAACCTATGGAAATCATCTGTTGTTTTCTATATGTTGTAATTTAATACAGATCCTTGTACATTTTGGCTTTCCTTACAGACCATTGTCCCATACAGTTTTCCTACAACTTTCCAAAGAAACGTTACATCTATCTAAGCAAGCATCCTTCTGACATGAACTTGAGCAGTGAGGAGTACGTTCTCAAAGTGGAGCCAACCACTGAAATTATACAAGTCTACGCCGAGGGAAAGGCCGGAGCTTTCTACGGAGTGCAGACAATTTTGGCTCTTTTACAGGTTGGCATAATAATGTACTGAAGAATATTATATTTTGGCGTTTGTGTAAACTTCAGATTCATTTTAAGCTCACCTGGCCCGATGCCATGGTGCGTCTTCCGTCGTCTGTCCATTGTCCGGCGTCAATATTTTACTTTAGACAACTTCTTCTCAATAACCAAAAGGCCTAGGATGATGATATTTGGGCAGAAGCAAACTGGGATAAAGGGCTACCAAGTTTGTTCAAATAAATGACCTTCACCTATTTTCAAGGTCACAGGGGTCAAATATGTTAAAAACTTTAAACATCTTCTTCTCCATAACCAAACTGCTCAGGGAGATTATATTTGGCCAGTAGCATGCTTTGGTGAAGGGCTACCAAGTTTGTTCAAATGAACGACCTTCATTTATATTCAAGGTCACAGGGGTCAATTGTTTAAAAAAAACACCTTTAAACAACTTCTTCTGAATAACCAAAAGGCCCAGGATGATGATATTTGGCCAGTAGCATGCTAGAATGAAGGGCTACCAAAATTGTTCAAATGAATGACCTTGAATTATATTCAAAGTCACAGGGGTCAAATATGTTAATATCTTTAAACAACTTCTTCTGCATAACCATAAGGCCTAGAATGTTGATATCTGTCAGTAGCATGCTGGGATTAAGAACTATTAAGTTTATTCAAGTGAATGACCTTGATTATATTCAAGGTCACAGGGGTCAAATTTGTTTAAAATCTTTAAATGATTTCTGAATAACCATGAGGCCAAGAATGTTGATATTTAGCCAGTAGCATGCTTCGATGAAGGGCCATCAAGCTTTTTCATTTGATTGACCTTAACCCATTTCGAGGTCACATTTACTCAAATATGTTTAAACATTTAAATTACCTTATTTCAATAAACAAAAGGATAGGTAGGTGATGTTTTGCAAGTTGCAACCTGAGATAAAGAGCTATAAGATTTGTTCAACATAATGACCTTGTTCGACTTTCAAGGTCACATGAGTGAAATGTTTTTAAATCTTTCTTGAATTACTTTTAATCATAAATACTGATATTTTGCCTATAGCTTTATTTAAGATCACTTTTAAGGTTACAAATGTGAGATGTATACCAGGTGAGCGATGCAGGCCCATTGGGCCTCTTGCTATAATACATAATTATCGCTGAGAAAGGGTAGTAGAGGGTAGTTTGAAAACACCTATACAAATACATCTTCTTCAGAACTGTAACCATCAGAGCTTCCATACCTCATCTTTCCCTCACATATTCAAATACATCTTCTTCAGCATTGTAACCATCAGAGCTTCCAGACTTCATCTTGACCTCACCTATACAAATACATCTTCTTCAGCATTGTAACCATCAGAGCTTCCAAGCCTCGTCTTTACCTCACCTATACAAATACATCTTCTGCGGTACTGTAACCATCAGAGCTTCCAAACCTCGTCTTTACCTCACCCATACACATTCATCTTCTTCAGAACTGTACCCATCAGAGCTTCCATACTTCATCTTTACCTCACCTATACAAATACATCTTCTTCGGAACTGTAACCATCAGAGCTTCCAAACCTCGTCTTTACCTCACCTATACACATACATCTTCTTCAGAACTGTTACCATCAGAGCTTCCATACTTCATCTTTACCTCACCTATACAAATACATCTTCTTCAGAACTGTAACCATCAGAGCTTCCATACTTCATCGTTACCTCACCTATACAAATACATCTTCTTCAGAACTGTAACCATCAGAGCTCCATACTTCATCTTTACCTCACCTATACAAATACATCTTTTTCAGAACTGTAACCATCAGAGCTTCTATACCTCATCTTTCCTTCACCTATTCAAATACTTCTTCTTCAGAACTGTAACCATCAGAGCTTCCATACTTCATTTTTACCTCACCTATACAAATACATCTTCTTCAGAACTGTAACCATCAGAGCTCCATACTTCATCTTTACCTCACCTATACAAATACATCTTCTTCGGAACTGTAACCATCAGAGCTTCCATACTTCATCGTTACCTCACCTATACAAATACATCTTCTTCAGAACTGTTACCATCAGAGCTTCCATACTTCATCTTACCTCACCTATACAAATACATCTTCTTCAGAACTGTAACCATCAGAGCTTCTATACCTCATCTTTCCCTCACCTATTCAAATACATCTTCTTCAGAACTGTAACCATCAGAGCTCCATACTTCATCTTTACCTCACCTATACAAATACATCTTCTTCGGAACTGTAACCATCAGAGCTTCCAAACCTCGGCTTTACCTCACCTATACACATACATCTTCTTCAGAACTGTTACCATCAGAGCTTCCATACTTCATCTTACCTCACCTATACAAATACATCTTCTTCAGAACTGTTACCATCAGAGCTTCCATACTTCATCTTTACCTCACCTATACAAATACATCTTTTTCAGAACTGTAACCATCAGAGCTTCTATACCTCATCTTTCCCTCACCTATTCAAATACATCTTCTTCAGAACTGTAACCATCAGAGCTTCCATACTTCATCTTTACCTCACCTATACAAATACATCTTCTTCAGAACTGTAACCATCAGAGCTTCCAGACTTCATCTTTACCTCACCTATACAAACACACCTTCTTCAGACCTGTAACCATCAGAGCTTTTCATGTTCAATACTAATGTTTAGTAAGAGGTTGGGAACTATCATCCTAGATACTCCCGGGGATATGCTCACTTACGCTCTCTGCATCCCTCAAAAAGGTCATAGCAAAACTGAGGGCACACTGCTACTTATTTGATTGGTCTCAGGTAAAAAAAAAACTGACTAATAACTGGGCTGATACCTGTCCTTTGAAGATTAGAGAAGAACGATACCTGTCTTCAAAGCCAGTCATTTACCGTTAAATTACTGACAGATTCTTTTGATGTACATCAAATGATCAAACTAGTCTTCTCATCTCACCCACAAGGTTGTGCAACCTGAGCCTTCAATTTTGCTATGACATATTCCAGGGGTGCAGAGAGTGTAAGTAAGCATAACCCCTGGATAATCGAGGATGGGAACTATGGTTTGCTTGCAACACTTTGCCCTGAGAACCCACAGTTCTTACTTCGATGAGTTTAAATGGATTTAATTGATATCTTCAATAAGATTCATCAATTGTATCACTCACTCAGTCATAGCTTGACAAAGGGACCAGTTGGCCTTGAAATGTTGCGACACGTTTAATATGTACATCGTTTGTGTAGAAAGTGAACCTTTGATATTGGATTTTCTTGATGCTTTACATTGATTTGACAAAGTAGGCATATACCCTATGTTTACTATGTATTGTTTTAAGCCTGTATGACCATGCAGTCAGCCTGATGTTTTTATGATTACGTATTATAAATCAATAAAGGGTGTTATCGTTTGACCTTCACAGAGAGAAGGGAATCAGTTGGTGATACCCAAGACACTAATAAGGGACAAACCAAGGTTTCCGTACCGCGGAATCCAATTAGATGTCTCGCGCAACTTCCACTCCAAGGAAACCGTTATGAAATTATTGGATTCCATGGCGACATACAAATTGAACAAGCTTCATTTTCACCTGAGCGATGATGAAGGCTGGAGGCTTGAGATCCCAGGGTTGGAGGAACTTACCCAGGTACGTCAAAGTGTGATTGATTTTTCAATCGTTACTCCTGTTGATGAAATATAAACGGCTGAAATAACCATGGATACCGAAGAGGAATTGTTTAGCAATATTTTAACATGAGCCTTCCTTCTGTTAGAGAGTTTTGATAGTCGGGGAAGAGGTCCCTGTCACTGTTTGGAACTTACCTCACCAATTGCATGACAATCACATGACAATCACATGACATGACAATCACATGACAATCACATCACATGACAATCACATCACATGACAATCACATGACAATCACATCACATGACAATCACATGACATCACATGACAATGAGTGGTAGGGTGGTGCAACTGTGCAAGAGTGATTGATATCAGTTGTAATAACTTGTTTCATGATTGTTGTAAAATAAATAAAATTTATGTTTATAAATCGCATGACAATGAGTTCAATGATGGAACAGGAAATTATTCTATCGAAAGTGGTTGATTGATTGCTGTATTGATCTGAACGATCATAAACACAAATTCATACATGGAAATATGGCATAAAAGACATAAATGGCCTGCATTGTGTGTTTCAACGGAAACACTGGAAGTAAAAATAGAAAACTTTGTAAGATTAAGTTCCACTGTGATACTTGCACTAAATGATGTGAGGGAATTAGGGAAGATAATCCAGTATTTACTTTTGGTTTTAGGTTGGTGCTCGGCGTTGTCATGACACCAGCGAGAAATCTTGCCTTCTACCTCAGCTAGGCTCCGGCCCTCACACAACCTCTTCTGGCTCCGGGTACTACACGCTCAAAGATTACCGTGAAATTTTAATGTACGCCAAAAAGAGGCACGTCCAAGTCATCCCTGAGTTTGACGTGCCAGGCCATTCCCGTGCTGCGGTGAAGTCGATGGAGGCCCGATATAAGAAATATGTTCCGCTGGACGTGGAGAGTGGTGGTGAGTTCCTGCTGTCTGAATGGGACGACAAGTCGAACTACAGCACAGCACAGTCGTACGATGACGGCGTGCTGAACGTGTGTATTGAGTCAACCTACACCTTTCTCCAGGTAAGCCAGCACTGCTGAAAGTGTTAAACCCTTTCACCCCTCTGTAACTTTAGTAGACTCTACCACGCATTCATCGTGGTGTGTCCATCATGGTCTACAGTGGTGAAAGGGTTAAGATTGTCAAACTAAGAACTTTCCTACACCTGTCTCAAAGTTTTCCTACTCTGCATGATATTCCAAATGTTGCTGTAAATCTTTAAGCCCTACAACTTTCTCAAGGTACATTAAGTACATATAAAAACTGAAAATCATTCCTACGTTTTAAAGCAGCATTCTTATTCAATTGAGATGTAACACTGCATTTGATTGGTCAGTTGAAATGATTTTTGATCGTAAAACCACGTACCACTGTCTGCAGATTTCTCGTTGTATATGAATTAAAGCCTAGATGTTTATGACGTTAACGCCCTGAGGGATGTTACAGGTCCTAAATTGATAATAAGTTCAAAATGAGCCTTGAATTTGACTAAGTGGTCATTTAACTAGGGTTGTATATTAATTTTGATGGTTATTCTCATAAAAATGACTGAAGAAAAATAGGAAAATGAAATATTTGTTATAAGTTAATTTCTAGGTTTACAGACTACCAACCAGTGTTACATTTTCTGGTTGTTTGGTGTTTTTATGGCGAGTTTAGAGACATCCAGGTAACACCTCCAAATCTCTGTATTTGGCAAATTTGATTTTGTTATTCTCATTTAAAAAAAAAAAAATCTAACCGGTGGTTCACTGGTTAACTCTTACCAATCTGTGAGTTACTGGGGCCTGTGTTCTGTACTGTGACGTGATCTACTGGGGCCTGTATTCTATACTGTGACGTGATCTACTGGGGCCTGTGTTCTGTACGGTGACGTGAGCTACTGGGGCCTGTATTCTATACTGTGACGTGATCTACTGGGGCCTGTATTCTATCCTGTGACGTGATCTACTGGGGCCTGTGTTCTCTACGGTGACGTGATCTCCTGGGGCCTGTGTTCTGTACGGTGACGGGAGCTACTGGGGCCTGTGTTCTGTACGGTGACGTGAGCTACTGGGGCCTCTGTTCTGTACGGTGACGTGAGTTACTGGGGCCTGTGTTCTGTACGGTGACGTGACCTACTGGGGCCTCTATTCTGTACTGTGCCGTGAGCTACTGGGGCCTGTGTTCTGTACAGTGACGTGAGTTACTGGCGCCTGTGTTCTGTACTGTGACGGGAGCTACTGGGGCCTGTGTTCTGTACGGTGACGTTACCTACTGGGGCCTGGGTTCTGTACTGTGACGTGATCTACTGGGACCTGTATTCTGTACGGTGACGTGATCTACTGGTGCCTTTGTTCTGTACGGTGACGTGACCTACTGGGGCCTGTATTCTGTATGGTGACGTGAGCTAGTGGGGCCTGTGTTCTGTACTGTGACGTGACCTACTGGGGCCTGTATTCTGTACGGTGACGTGAGCTACTGGGGCCTGTGTTCTGTACGGTGACGTGAGTTACTGGCGCCTGTGTTCTGTACTGTGACGTGACCTACTGGGGCCTGTGTTCTGTACTGTGACGTGATCTACTGGGGCCTGTGTTCTGTACTGTGACGTGATCTACTGGGGCATGTGTTTTGTACGGTGACATGAGCTACTGGGGCCTGTATTCTGTACGGTGACGTGATCTACTGGGGCCTGTATTCTGTACTGTGACATGAGCTACTGGGGCCTGTATTCTGTACCTTGATGTGAGCTACTGGGGCCTGTGTTCTGTACGGTGACATGATCTACTGGGGCCTGTATTCTGTACTGTGACATGATCTACTGGGGCCTGTGTTCTGTACGGTGACGTGAGTTACTGGGGCCTGTGTTCTGTACGGTGACGTGAGTTACTGGGGCCTGTGTTCTGTACGGTGACGTGAGCTACTGGGGCCTGTGTTCTGTACGGTGACATGATCTACTGGGGCCTGTATTCTGTACAGTGACGTGAGTGTCTGTTATAGGCAGGTTTCACTTTACATGGCTTTCCTTATGCCCGACAGCATCTGATAGCCTCAGTAAAGGAGCTACATCAGGACGTACAGCCACTGGATGTTGTCCACATCGGGGGTGACGAGATTGCTCGGGAGGCCTGGACGAAATCCCCTGCATGTAAAACTCTTACAGAGGAACGGAACATCACAGATTTCCGCTTCTTTTTCGTGCACCGTGTGATAGAACTTCTTCAGAATCAAGGATTGGCTGCCGGGGTTTGGGAGGATGGGATCATACCAAAGGATGTTTACCCTTACAACATCAAGGACCTCCGAAATAAACAGCCTAGCAGGTAATTATACCATTAACCATTTGAAACAGAATACATGTATACAGTGTTTTATTATATACAGAGTCGGAAACAATATTTTCCAACAGACTTGTGAAACCTGCATGCCAAAAAAATAAGCTTTATAATTGTTTGGAAAACTTTGGTTTTGAAATGCATTTTTTTCAGTGGATTTGATCCTGGCCTCTAATACAGAGGGGATGGGTCACATTTCTGGTAAAGAAGGGTTAAGTGGGATAGTGGTTCTCTAGTATTTATGGTGATGTAAAAGAAGAGAACTTAAACGTTTTTTCTGTTTGTATATATCTTGTTTGTTATCAGTTTCACTGGACCAAATGAATCAGGAATCCTTTTATTTTTCTTTGAATAGAACAATTGCAATGTTTTTTCCATTATTTTACTTAAACTTTACCTAGCCAGGAAATACGTTTATCAGGATCTTTAAGTAAAGATACTTAAAAGGTAGGAACTTAGATTTGTACATATTTTATTGATATTTTTCACCTAATGTGCTTATTTTTTTCTGTGTATGCTACAAACTGAAATGGTTTTTCATTTTCTTAATTTTGTTTGTCTCTTATACTTGTTAGTTAATTTCTCTTTAATTGTCAATAGTAAACAAACTTGTAGTTATTTATATTACAGGTTATTTTTGTGATCATTTGTATGTTGACTTTACAGAGATGTTTCCCTTCATCAGAACTATTACTTATATCCATTTTTATCTATCAGTAACTTAACAGTAGATAACTCAACACAACAGGAAAGGTAGGCCAGTCAGGAGTTGTGCCCCTTTGATCTTTTGACAGAAGGTGATGGCTAACATTATAATCTTGTTCAATCAAGAGTTGTGGCCCTTGATCTTTTGACAGAAGGCGATGGCTAACATGATAATCTTGTTCAATCAAGAGTTGTGGTCCTTGATCTTTTGACAGAAGGTGATGGCTAACATGATAATGTGGTTCAGGCAGCCACCTTGTGAAACTGCATAAAACAAACTTTCTAATTGGATTAGTCACAGAAATGATTCAATAAATGGTACTTCTTTTTTTATTCTGCATGTGTGAAAATACGACAGATAGAAACAGCAAGTGGAGTTCAACTCCTATGAATCAGACATGCCGACACATTTAACACAGTTTCTACAGTATGTTTGTGTGGAGCTAGTGATTTGTCCATAAAAAGGCAAAAGCACTAGCAGCCCTGTCTCCTAGTTTATAAATATTTTTACATTATGTCAATACGTAGACTTACACAAGCTCCAGAACATGGGACAAACGATCAGAATGGACTTCACAAGTCCCAATTACTGAAAAAAAACACGTTGATTGAAATATAAGGATTGAATCTTGCTTTGGTCAATTTCATGGGGTGATGAATTGAGTTGGTCTTGAAACAAATTCAACATGAACTAAATTTGTTTCAAGACCAACCCAATTCATCACCCCATTAAATCGACCAAAGCACGATTCAATCCTTGAATGTCCCGATATATCTTAGTTGTGAGGGATATATAAAACCTGCCCTGATGGAGAATTGTGTGTGTAATTGATTTATAAAGTAAGAGTTACTTCCCTTCAGTAACTAATATTCCCACATATACAACAGAAACTTCGTGGTTGGGGTAAATCCTGTTGGAGAATATGTTTAAAAGATTAAGAGTTACTTCCCTTGCTTTGAATTGGTGGTGGGGAATGCATTTATTTTGATCCACATTGTCACATTGATATATATGGTCGACATTGGATTGAGATCGACGTCAGGCCTACTGTGTCTGTCTTCACTATGTAATCAAGTACATGTGAACATGCCGTTCTGCTGTTTCACTTACAGTCCTCACAAGTCAAAACAAGGACTCAAACTCGTTTGTATCAAAAAAAGCTTAAGATTTCTTTGAATGACCAGAGACTCTGACTTTACATGTACTCATCCCTCATTATAATGAAATGGTAGTGAAGTTTTACTGGTCCACATTTTTTTCAAATGTTAAATATTTAATATCACTGATATGTTGCTGCAAAGAAAATGAAACTGAAACTGTTTAAACATCTTTTATCCACAAAAAGCATCATTGTGAAAAATACAGGGATTCTAAAAAAAAATGGAAAAATGTCTGTTGAAAACCTCCATTAGCTTGGAATATTTTATTTTGAGGTTTTATTTAATTTTTCCTGATGCTCTGCATGACCTTGTATAATCAATGTAATATTTGCTACCGGGATTGGTCTGGGGTCTGGCCCCACTCAATGAATGACCTTTACCCATATTCAAGGTCACAAGGGTCAATTGTCTTCAAAAAACCTTTAAACAGCTTCTTCTAAATAACCAAAAGGAGGACCAGTTTGATGATATATGGCCAGTAGCATGCTTAAATGATGGGCTATCAAGTATATTCAAATAATGACCTTTGTCCATTTTCAAGGTCACAGGGATCAAATGTGTTGAAATCTTTAACCGACTTCTTCTGAATAACCAAAAGGTCCAGGGTGATGATATATAAAAATAGGTGAGCTATAATTGCAGGCCCATTGGGCCCTTGTTTTTAACCTGAAACCAATCAAATAGGCATCTGCATGCCTTCAATTTTGTCATGACACATTCCTGAGGTGCAGAGAATGTAAGGGAGGATATTGTGAATGACAACTTCATGGTCCATTGTCTATAATAACTTAAAATATAACCATCAAAATTTAATGTCAATCAAATAATTGTCAATATGTTCTCTGATCTTTCAGTTTTTACCTCAGATGATTGGCTATTTATTTGAAGGTCCAGAAAGGTATACCAATGTACAGTGACTGTGATAGATTCAGCCATACTTAAAATGTATTCCATTTCCCAACATCTCCGTTATTGGTGAGAATGATTTCATCCTTTTGAACCAATTTTACAGTAAAATTCCTTAAAGATTTGTGATGAAGAAGTGTATGCCCGATAGCTAGTGTTGCCCACTGTGAAGTCATAGTGTTCGCACGGGTCCAAAATATGGACTTAACACTATGCATTGGTTAACAAGGAAAGGGGAAATTTGCTTCATGAATATGTCTGTGTAATATATAGAGAAGAGCTAAAAAGTGTACGGCCATACTGGGATTTGAATCCTCCGAACTCTAGTCGGAGGCTCTAACCAATTGAGCTACCAGTCGCTGATGATTGATCAAGTCCAGTTTTGCTACATCAACAAGTATTTTTTATTTCAATTAAAATATAAATTATATCAAGGTCGATAAATGGGCTTACTCAGAAAAACGATTACATTTTGATAGCCGTCTGAAGAATCATTATACAACGTACATTGTGTGATCGTAGGTGTCAACTTCTGAAACCTCCATTGAGGGGGATCTCCCTCATTCTACATTTACAATGATGGAGAAATTTAGTTTTATTTAATTTTGCTCAGCTAACTTTCCCTTTTTGTCTCGTCGCCACAAAGTGGAAGCGAGACTAAGGTGTTGCTTTTCCAGCGGCGACGGCGTCAACATTACGTTTTTGCGTTTAAGTTAGTTTCACTAAAAGTATAAGTGCTAGACCAACCAAACTTGGACCATAGGTAGTACATCTCGTCCCATGCATCAAATGCTGGATGTGGCCTACGTACCTCTCATGGTCCATTGACTTTGTCAGCATCTCCATCAACATTAAATTTTTGCATTTAAGTTAGTTTCTCTGATATGTGCATTGAAGGTCAAAGTAGATCATAGGCGAGACATATCAATCCGAATGGCTTGTTTATGTATCAGAATAATTCCAAAAAGTATTCATTTGATTCAGACACACCTGTTATGATCATTACACACACCCTGCAATAACTAGGAGATCTTTTGGAGTTTTGGGGGAGATTGTAATTTTTTGTCAAAATGAGGGAGTCTCCCTCCTAATGAGGGACGGTTGACAACTATGTATAATGCTAATATAGATACAACTCAATTAAGATGAAATAAAATCATTATTTTTTATCCAGACCTATATTGGAAAAAATTGGATATTTTGAAAATCATCTCTGTTAATCACTATACTATATTGAATATAGACCAATTTAACTAAACTTAATAAAACAACATTTAAGTCAAACCCATCCCTTCTATTACAAAGCCAGTGGCATTAACTAATTCATCCCTGAAGACACATTTTAACTCTTCCAATTCAAAGGTTGGAATAGTCCATTATGAAGTTTCAGGGATAAATGAGTTAATGGTGTTATAAGTATTGAAGTATTAACTTCCTCTTAATTTCATTGTGTATTCATTGTTTGAGGTTGGGATAGAATTATCAGTATCAGAGAGAGCTACATTTTTCTCCGTCCCCATTCCGGGAATCAACATATTACAATGGATGAGGTCACTCAGGCCCAGCCACAGTTTTCTCCGTCCCCATTCCGGGAATCAACATATTACAATGGATGAGGTCACTCAGGCCCAGCCACAGTTTTTTCCGTCCCCATTCCGGGAATCAACTTATTAGAATGGATGAGGTCACTGGCCCAGCCACAGTTTTTTCCAGGTGTCCTGTTTCCTCATTAAGACCTGCTCACCAACTGGGCCAACAGCAATGATAAGTGAGGGTTAATAAAACATGTTCTATGATTGTTGATATATATCACATTGGTGACCAAAACATTTCAGTCAGGAGAAGGACTTGGTAAAGAAAAAACTTATAGTTATACACACTGTGGTATAGACTTGGTAATAGTTACACACACTGTGGTATAGACTTGGTAATAGTTACAAACAGTGTGGTATA